TTTTGACATCTTATTTTCTTCTCAGTTGACCATGATTAATTTATATCCTGATAACAACAAGATAATAATTGTGATCCTCTGACTCGATCTGCTTCTCTATTCTTATCGTGGCTTCACGTGACTCATCTCAGGGGTTACCAGGTACTCCTAAACTCGCTTGATTTAAAATAAGTGTCCTTCAGTGAGAGTTATTACATTCTACAACATGTATAGCGAGGAACTAAGACGTGTCCTTAGATTCGGCAAGGACCACTGCGCCGGTGAACCTATACGAACTACTCCTTGAACTTGTTTCTTTGTAAAACTGGTTTCGTTTTGTCAAGTCACCTCAGCTAAGAACCTCCGTAGCTAACCCTTCACATATTCTTCTGTACTGCTCCAAGGATCTAGTGAAAGTGGCTGGGTTCTGGTCACGTCTTGGGTCCTCCCCATCCATAAATGGGACGTCTCGGGTTCAGTCCATTTCTTATGACTGGTATGCGACCCAAGACGTGACCCCTCAACCCTAAGCGAGACAACACAAGAGCCAACAGAAAAGGCTTCTGAACCAACACACTTGTCTTATGTTTCTGTGGGCTTCACACTACTGGTTACTGATAAGCTGAATTTCTTTACAAACTGATGTATATTATTGACTTTCTTCATGATTTATACAAAAAAAATTCATGTTTCAGTTGAAGGTAAATGAAGACTCGCGTGAGTACGTGGAAAAGTTTCATAAGGTTTTAATATGATAAACAAATATGACAGAGAAATTAACATGAAAGGAAAGTCAGTTTAATATTCATGCACTGTGATGATACGTGACGTATGAGGTCAGCTGGTTCTGTATCATAATTGTTTTAAAATGGAAAATCTTCGCGAAAAACGACAAACAAGTTGTGGTTATGGTGGTAATTATTTATATGTTCAGTGTTTTAAGCTGACATTAGATGTTTCATACAGTCTCAGCCAAGTACCTCACAGATATGCTTGTATCGTCGCCCACTACACATCCGCTTCTTCCTTAGTAAACTTCTTTCAGAAGACTCACCTATGCAGACTTGAGAAATTGATTACATGAACATGTAGTTCGGGAGTGTCTCACTCTCTGAACAGAAAGATAATTTCTCTCTGGAACAATAAAATAACATTTCCGGAAAGGGAATAGAAAGCTATGTTTCGCCGTTAAAGGTGTGTTTCTTGCGTAAGACCCTGAGGTAGATGCGAGGAGGAAAAGACAGTCTTACGTACAGTGGTTCCCGTCCAGGCAGGTGTCTGTCTTCACTAAGAGAAGGTTACAGTCCTGACATGTATTTGTCTTCACTAAGAGGGGGATACAGTCCAGACAGGTGTCTATCTTTACTGTGAGAGGGTTACAGTGCAGACAGGTGTCTGTCTTCACTAAGATAGGTTGTGAACTTCAAACAAACTTCTGTAATTTATCTTACAGATTCTCTGGACTTTGTTAAACATTAGCTGTGATGGTAGATGTACGGAAGAAATAAAAACATTAATTTCGGTTTAAGAAAACGGCTGCTGAAAGACTATTGTATGGGTCAGATGCGTGGACACTTTCAGCAGACGCCAGAAAGAGGATGGAGGTCTTTGAAATGTGGTGTTGTAGGCGAAAGCTAAGAATAAGCTGCACTGAAAGAAAAAAAATGAAGAAGTACTAAGATTAGCAAAAGTTCCAGGACAAATGCTTGAAATGTACAGGTAAACAAGAAAAACGAGATACTTTGGTCATATAATTAGTGATAGGGGGATAATAACAGAAATGTTAATGGATAAAATTGAAGGTAGAGGGCCAAGTGAAGGCAGAGACTAGAATGGATGAATGAATAAAATACTGGGTCTCTAGAGAGATATAAAGACTTGGGGAATTGGTAAAAACAGCCCGAGAACGTTTAGAGTGGAGGACTGTGGTCGCCACCCCTCAGATATGAGGACGGTACTCTGATTGAGAAATTAAAATATGTTTGATTTGGAAATGTCTAAGGATCGGGGGGAGTCCACTGGCTCACTGTTCACTCTATACACCTTACTTTTAGTCATGCTGATTCCCTGTCAGAACAAGATTGTTAATTATTGTCCGATATGCTGATCATCTCTGCTTGTTGTAGCAGAGCTATCACTGGAGTTCTTCAAACAAACTGAATCTTTGAGGAGATTGAACTTCACTCCACTTGTGCTCCAGACGCTGCGACTCATCCACTGGTGATTATGGAAAGTTATGTCACAGTTGCACTGCTGACACTTATCATGGGAGGAGAATTCCATCCAAACCTCTGATAGCAAATCAGAGTTGTCCGCCACTTGACTTGATTGATTGTAATAGATTTCTGACGTCACTAACTACTTCTCTAACTATAATTCCGTCGAAGAGAGCAAATCCCCCTACTGCAACTCGGCAGTGTCCAGGTGCGCATACATATTGACATAAAATATTGATTATCGACCTCGTTTGGTAACCTATCGAGATACATTAAACTTAGTTAAAAACAATTACTATTTGTCATACTTGGCTCCTCAACAACTCCCGGGTAGGTGAAGGACGAACTCATGGACACACGCATGAACGGAAAGCAGTATGTCCCTACGTCCCTCCCGGCACGGAAAAGTACACAATTGTGGCCGAGAGGAATCTATTGTGAAATAATACTTAGTTTGTCTACCGTGATTTCCCATTTTCTGCGAGAAACCTGGGGCCACTTAAGAAGATTTCTTGTTCTTGAAGGATAAGAACTCAATTTGAACAGAGGAAGTCCCACTAAACTACGTCTAGTCTCTCAGAGAAGTTTTGTCATTGGAATCTCTGTCGAAATCCAGATTGGAAAACTTATACTTGATTAGAACCTGAACGGGAATACTTTGCTCGTTCTGGTCGCGGCTAAAATTGCTGACTTTGGATCCTATGCCAAGATCAGCCAATCATCTAGATGCACCAGACGCTGTATGCCTTAGTTACCAATTAGTTATGTTAAGACTAACCAGTTGTATAAACACTCTTAGGGTATGTCTAGACCGAAAGATAAAGTAGCTGGGGGTGTTTACCACCGGGAGTGTCATCGCCACTGGCGTAAGTGCTGGCATCGCCGGGAGTTGGGGGAGGGGGGGCGGTGTTTACCGCCGGGAGTGTCATCGCCACTGGCGTAAGTGCTGGCATCGCCGGGAGTTGGGGGAGGGGGGGCGGTGTTTACCGCCGGGAGTGTCATCGCCACTGGCGTAAGTGCTGGCATCGCCGGGACTGTTTTCACCTTTGGCGTCAGCACTAGTGTCAGTGCTGACGTTTTTGCTGCCTTACCCGAACAAAGATTAGGAGGTGGGCGGTGTTTACGGAGAAGAGATCATGACTCTCCTAATGTATGGTTTAAAAGGCGGCGTGGCCACCTGGACTCTAGGAGACTGCCCCCTCAAGTGATGCTGTGAGGATCAACACTCTGCTAGCAGTGGTGAACAAGAACTCCCAATCCTGGCCGAGTTTTGTACTGGAACAATTCACACAGAACTATCTTCCCTTGGAACACCAGACTGGTTCGCATTGACCCGCACTTGTAAGTACAGCCAAAGTGATGACATACCCCTCAGTACTGAAATATTGTGGACTAATTATGCCCACTTGTTCCTGCCTTATCTGGATCAATAAAACAACGCGGAATGAAGTGTAGCTAAGATTAATAGAGTTATGAACTTTGTATCATGTCATTATGCTCAATAATCAATTATAATTAAGATAAATTGTGTGAGACTAACTAATTATGTATCAGATATATCACCATGTAATACTAATGAACGCCTTGTTGTCTGCAGGTTTTGACCACATCAATAAATATTGAATGGGTCAAAAGACGGGTTTCAATCATTCCCTTCGACTTGCCCGTCACCTGAACGTCCTTAACTAAGGCGTTTACAGTCAAAACAAATGCGGGAGGGCATCGAAGGGAATACTCAACTACCAGGAGAAAAAAGGACCACAGGACACGTCACCAACGCCAGGAGTTCAGCGTGGAACAACGTAGATCGTCAATCAGCCACCTGCCCACAGTGGGTGGGACATCGGCGCGGGAGACAGTGTCGTGTGTTTGAATGAAGTGTGTAAATATCTGAGGGGTTGTCATAAAGTTTTCGGTTCAAGCGTACGGTGCTGTGAGCCTTTGTTTGTAACAAGCCGGCCCACGCACGCAGTGAGGCAAACCCACCCTCCCAGTGATTATACGTGCATGCACCAGTGATCATAACGGGCAGCTGACAGGGTTTGAGGCAACAAATAACCAACTTAACGAATTACAAGGCAAGTGTGATTAAATTGACTTAATATCACCCCAATTTGTGACACCGTAAACAACCTGCAGTGATCCACTTGTAACCATAAGCAACCTCCAGTGATTCACTTGTAAACACCGTAAGTATCCAACAGTGAAGTGTCCCTAAATTTACTTAATATCACCCCAATTTGTGACAACGTAAACAACCTGCAGTGATTCACTTGCAACACCGTAAGTAACCGACAGTGAAGTGTCGCTTGTAACACACTAAGCAACCAACAGTGACCTACTATTGTCAAACATACATACAAGCAGCGAGCCACACCACCGAACGCAAATACAGTCAGTAAGCAGTGGTTCATCGAACAAACTTTGAGACCTAACCAGAGCTGAAAATAATTCTCAAAAAGAGGACCAGAGGTAGCGGGAATGGATCCAGAGCAACGAAAGGGAAATGTGAACATGGATAAAGGTGACCGAGACCCAGAAGCAGTAGTTGTGCCTCCGGAACTGAACGACCACGATGTTATGGCCACAGAAGCTAAAAGGGGCCACCCTCTGCCTGAGTCTGAATGCTCAGCACCTGACCAAAATCCCGGATCTAACATAATGGCAGAAGTTCGACGAACTGTGACTGAAATGATGGAAGCATATTTTGCAAAAGGGAACACAGCACGACGTTTGGACGAAGGGAGCAACCAACCCAGGCTGAAGACAACATGAGCGGGGACTCTTGGCAAGTCTCCCACTGTAATGACTGGACGCCCCAAGGGCCATGAGGGATCGACCGACAAAGACGAAGACGTGCAACGAGTTGAAATGATGCAGCCTGAAAGGAGAGAGAAGTACGGCAGCAAGGAAGAATCCGGCAGCACCTCAACTTCACTGAAGGATATGTTGTCCTCCTACCACATGCAAAATGCACGCATCCTTACTTTCAAGGGGGAGAGCCGTGGAGAATATTGGGACTACTGTAATTATGTAGGTCAGACAGGAAAAACACTGCAGCTCAGAATCAAACAACATAAGTATAATATCAGAACTGCATCTGAAAGCAGTGCCTTGTTCGTTCATGTTAGGAATAATAATCACCCCATTGCTTGGGAAAAAAGCTTAGAAGTATTCAAATCATCTTGTGTCACAAAAAGACTTCTGGTTGAAGCTAGTTTGATTAAGGAATTAAAATCAATAAACCTTAGTGGCCCAAGGTTAAAAATGCTTTGAAAACCTTTGCTCTAGATGTATGATAGTTATTTTGTGGGTCCCTTTTTTCTGACCTGACTTGGCTAGTCACGTCACCACCCTTCTCTTAAGCTCCTCTACGTGTGTGTTGGTGTGGGGATTAGTGGATGTCATCATTTTGACCTGACCTCATGTTTTTAGGTCACCCTGTATATTTAAGCCTCTCTCTGTCCATGTAATCCAGTTGCCTCTGAAGATGTCTTGAATAAAGACGAAAGCTAAGCTTAGAAGTATTCAAATCATCTTGTGTCACAAAAAGACTTCTGGTTGAAGCTAGTTTGATTAAGGAATTAAAATCAATAAACCTTAGTGGCCCAAGGTTAAAAATGCTTTGAAAACCTTTGATCTAGATGTATGATAGTTATTTTGTGGGTCCCTTTTTTCTGACCTGACTTGGCTAGTCACGTCACCACCCTTCTCTTAAGCTCCTCTACGTGTGTGTTGGTGTGGGGATTAGTGGATGTCATCATTTTGACCTGACCTCATGTTTTTAGGTCACCCTGTATATTTAAGCCTCTCTCTGTCCATGTAATCCAGTTGCCTCTGAAGATGTCTTGAATAAAGACGAAAGCTAAGGTACTCCGTTGTTTCCATTTTCCCGTGTGATTTTATCAAGATTTATCTTATCCACGTTTTCATTGTGGATTTACATGAAATATATATATATATATATATATATATATATATATATATATATATATATATATATATATATATATATATATCAAAGAACCTCTTCGCCAAAGTTCAACTCGCACTAAGAAGGGCTAAATACCCTCAAACTTCACAATTTAGTACACTGATGAATATAAGGAACTACACAAGGAGGTGAACGTACGGAATATACCAGCATTATGTCGTCAATGATACACAAACAATGTTATTTTCTGTTGTTTCAAAGTGGAGACACGCGACCACGGGAGGAAGACGAGTTTGCATTTATATCTATTAATTTCTCTCCTCTTCACTTTTCAAATAAGTAATATTTTATGGTTAAAATTATATTCTTAATAACAACAATCATATTAATAAAAAATATAATAAATACTACTACTAACAACAACAACAACAATAATAATAATAATAATAATAATAATAACAGATCTTAGGTTATTCCAAAAATATTTCAAATTTATGAGAACTAGTTTTTGAGTCGGCAAGTTGAGTACTCAATGAAAACTATTACTCCGCCTCCCTCACGTCAGTCTCCCACACAATAGGAAGGTGAGTGCGCGCTTTTTTTGTTCAGTTATTTTTTAAGTACACTTACAATATCTACATTGAGCTTCTGAATCGTAATGGAAAATATGCATAAGAATGAAGGAATAAAGTATATTATATATTAAGTATTAATAACTAAAAGCTTGGGACTCAAGGAGATCGTTGTGTTGCTACTAATGGTGTCCCGTTACTGCATTTCAAATGGAGTTATCAGAATAAAACAAACCCCAGGAGTTGCATACTGTCAGGGCATGGATAATTTTTATCTTCAGCACAACTGTACTGTACAGTATGCCTCGGTTATTGTAATGTAATCGGTATATAGTCCAAAGTAAAACTTTCCTCTGAAAATTTTTAACCGATTTTTATGTTTCTGTGCATTTCAGTAAGTTTATATTAGCTTTGTAAAGTATTTCAAAACAACGCTGCAAGTGTAAACCTGTAAGGCATACCACTGAACTAACGGTCTTGAGGAGTCTACTGGCCTGGGTGTAGTGAATGAGCATCTATAAGAGCTCTCGAACCTCTACCATGTCAGCGCTATCTTGAGTAATATATATATATATATATATATATATATATATATATATATATATATATATATATATATATATATATATATATAAGGAACGGAACAAAGAGACATCTGATTCATCTTAACATATTTATGATTTTAACTTTCATTTTTCAACCTGTGAAGTTCCCAAGTTTTGATGATCATCCTGAACACGGTAAGTATATTATTTTGATCTACATTTTATATTCTCGTATATCAATTCGTATTTTATTTTTGATATACCAGCATTATTAATTAATGATAATATCTTGATATGTGTTCCATACGGTACTTAGTTCATCATTCATGGTAAAATTTTAAAGACTATCATCATTATCATAACCATCACAGTTTTACAAACATGGGTTAGCGCTGATGGCAGGGTGTTCCGTTTGCCATTAAGCAAATTTTTAAACTAAGATTTAAGTGTGGACGCCCAACTCGTCCACTCATAGTGTAAACAATAGCTCTATAACGCTTGTTATTTTCTTCAGTAGGGAACACCTTCGCGAAGGATAAGCAATATACTTTGATTCATTACTTGTGTCCTAAAACAAAATGTTGATTACAATATACCTTTCTCCTTAATTCTTCTGTGTGTTTCATAGATGTTTGTTACTGGTATCCAAGCAGTGACACCTATTCCTGTGACTATTATAGCCGTTATCTTGGGCTGTAACAAGCGTAAGCAAGAATGATAATGTTTGTAGACACGTCCATGAGGAAAACAAGTGTGTATTTGCAAAATGTAAACTATTCATAAATTACGTATATGTATTTTCAAATATTGCCAAATTTGCTTGCCGGTTTGAAAACTTGTTAGTTTAGGTCCACCGAGAGCTTAGTTGAATGCAATAATAAGCTTGATCGACCTAGTTTAAGTAAAAGATTGAAAGAATTTGGTAACATACCGGGTGTTTCACTTAAAATACACAAGCGGTGTCCATTTTTTGTGTTCATTTAATCTTTAATGTTGCTACATATATATTTATATAGTTTTCTGTGTTTCAGCCCTGTAAGATGGAAGTCAAAATGGTGTTGATGGTGATGGTGCTTCTTCTCCATGATGTAGGTCAGTTAACTACAGGTTTTTTCTACACACACACACACATTATTTATTACCATATTACGAGAGGTGATCACAAAATAATAAAAGGTACATGATTCCAAAAGCAATTACCACATCCGTGTTGTGTAAGCTGGGCATCTTACCTGCAACATTTTTTCTCTGGCAAATCCATATAAGTCCAGGTTGAATGTTCTTAATCCCTGTTGTTGGTTAATGCTTTCGGCACAGTAGTGCACAAACCACATCAAGAACAATGTGAAGCTACTTATTTCGAGAGACTGAACCTTTTGACAAATACAGGTGTAATAAGCCACCAGTCTTTCATATGCATTGCACCCGATGAGTCTTCTCATAAGCTAAGTAGCACTATTAACTTTGATGCGGCCATTTAAAATTGATCCGTGCTACCTCCATTTGTCTGTTCATGTCACGTTTTCCGTTAATATATTATACAAGTTGGCGAATTATTTAGCTCGCTACCTCGTTCTTTGCCCGTACTACACTTTGAATATCTTCATAACTTGCTAACTGATCAAGTAGACTGAGATAATACTATAAACAATACGCACGCTTATCAAATCTACAAAAGCTGTGTATCTAATTTCTGATCGTTCCTCATGTTTTTTCTTTTTTGCCGGTGACAGTTTTATTCCGGCACTAAATGCGACTAGGAAAGACGTTTATGCAATCATTGGGATTGGGCTAGCAGTGTTTTATATAATTCTTGTATGAACAAGGTAAAAAAACTGACGGGCGATGTAAATTTTTATGAACAAGATCAACAGACTGGCAGGTGGTATATGTTACTAGGTACAAGACCAACAGACTGGCAGGTCTTATATGATAGTATCAGCAAGACCAACAGACTGGCAGGTGGTATATGTTAGTAGGTACAAGAGGTGGTATATGTTAGTACCAACAGACTGGCAGGTGGTATATGTTAGTATGAGCAAGATCAACAGACTGGCAGGTGGTATATGTTAGTAGGACAAGACCAACAGACTGGCAGGTGGTATATGTTAGTATGAGCAAGATCAACAGACTGGCAGGTGGTATATGTTAGTAGGTACAAGACCAACAGACTGGCAGGTGGTATATGTTAGTATAACAGACTGGCAGGTGGTATATGTTAGTAGGACAAGACCAACAGACTGGCAGGTGGTATATGTTAGTATGAGCAAGATCAACAGACTGGCAGGTGGTATATGTTAGTAGGTACAAGACAACAGACTGGCAGGTCAAGATCAATATTGGCAGGTGGTATATGTTAGTACGAACAAGACAACAGACTGGCAGGTGGTATATGTTAGTACGAAGAGACCAACAGACTGGCAGGTGGTATATGTTAGTACGAACAAGATCAACAGACTGGCAGGTGGTATATGTTAGTACGAACAAGACCAACAGACTGGCAGGTGGTATGTTAGTACGAACAAGATCAACAGACTGGCAGGTGGTATATGTTAGTACGAACAACATCAACAGACTGGCAGGTGGTATATGTTAGTACGAACAAGATCAACAAGAGACTGGCAGGTGGTATATGTTTAGTACAAGATCAACAGACTGGCAGGTGGTATATGTTAGTACGAACAAGATCAACAGACTGGCAGGTGGTATATGTTAGTATAAAGACCAACAGACTGGCAGGTGGTATATGTTAGTACGAACAAGATCAACAGACTGGCAGGTGGTATATGTTAGTACGAACAAGATCAACAGACTGGCAGGTGGTATATGTTACCCAACAGACTGGCAGGTGGTATATGTTAGTACGAACAAGATCAACAGACTGGCAGGTGGTATATGTTAGTACGAACAAGATCAACAGACTGGCAGGTGGTATATGTTAGTAGGTACAAGACCAACAGACTGGCAGGTGGTATATGTTAGTATGAGCAAGACCAACAGACTGGCAGGTGGTATATGTTGGTAGGTATAAGATCAACAGACTGGCAGGTGGTATATGTTAGTAGGTACAAGATCAATATATTGGCAGGTGGTATATGTTAGTACGAACAAGACCAACAGACTGGCAGGTGGTATATGTTAGTACGAAGAAGACCAACAGACTGGCAGGTGGTATATGTTAGTACGAACAAGATCAACAGACTGGCAGGTGGTATATGTTAGTACGAACAAGACCAACAGACTGGCAGGTGGGATATGTTAGTACGAACAAGATCAACAGACTGGCAGGTGGTATATGTTAGTACGAACAACATCAACAGACTGGCAGGTGGTATATGTTAGTACGAACAAGATCAACAGAGTGGCAGGTGGTATATGTTAGTACGAATAAGATCAACACACTGGCAGGTGGCTGGCAGGTGGTATATGTTAGTACGAACAAGATCAACAGACTGGCCGGTGGTATATGTTAGTACGAACAAGATCAACAGACTGGCAGGTGGTATATGTTAGTACGAACAAGATCAACAGACTGGCAGGTGGTATATGTTAGTACGAACAAGATCAACAGAGTGGCAGGTGGTATATGTTAGTACGAACAAGATCAACAGAGTGGCAGGTGGTATATGTTAGTACGAACAAGATCAACAGACTGGCAGGTGGTATATGTTAGTACGAACAAGATCAACAGAGTGGCAGGTGGTATATGTTAGTACGAACAAGATCAACAGACTGGCAGGTGGTATATGTTAGTACGAACAAGATCAACAGAGTGGCAGGTGGTATATGTTAGTACGAACAAGATCAACAGAGTGGCAGGTGGTATATGTTAGTACGAACAAGATCAACAGAGTGGCAGGTGGTATATGTTAGTACGAACAAGATCAACAGACTGGCAGGTGGTATATGTTAGTACGACAAGATCAACAGACTGGCAGGTGGTATATGTTAGTACGAACAAGATCAACAGACTGGCAGGTGGTATATGTTAGTACGAACAAGATAGTACGAGATCAACAGACTGGCAGGTGGTATATGTTAGTACGAACAAGATCAACAGAGTGGCAGGTGGTATATGTTAGTACGAACAAGATCAACAGACTGGCAGGTGGTATATGTTAGTACGAACAAGATCAACACACTGGCAGGTGGTATATGTTAGTACGAACAAGATCAACACACTGGCAGGTGGTATATGTTAGTACGAACAAGATCAATAGACTGGCAGGTGGTATATGTTAGTAGGTACAAGATCAATAGATTGGCACTTGCTGTATGTTAGTCGGTACTGGATCAACAGATTGGCAGGTGGTATATGTTAGTCGGTACAATATCAATAGATTGGCACTTGCTGTATGTTAGTCGGTACTGGATCAACAGATTGGCAGGTGGTATATGTTAGTACGAACAAGATCAACAGGCTGGCAGGTGGTATATGTTAGTAGGTACAATATCAATAGATTGGCACTTGCTGTATGTTAGTCGGTACTGGATCAACAGATTGGCACTTGCTATATGTTAGTCGGTACTAGATCAACAGATTGGCAGGTATTGTTCGTATAAACAAGTTCAATACGTGGGAAGTGGTGCAACATGTGCTTAGGTAACGCCATGCTACAGAAGTGAGGTGTTTTATAAATAATCAAAGTGCAAGAATGACTGATTGATCCCATCTAAGCTTATTCACACGATACATAGTTGCACCTAAATGTTGAACTTCGACTCACGAGGGTCTTGTATACTAACCCAGCAACAGTGACATACTTTTGTTAAGGGCTTGAAACAGTAAGATTCAATTTACATAACCAGACAAAGTATTTCTAGCCCTTAAGTCCCGGGTTAGGGTGCTCTAACTGGTCCTTATACAGTACTTGTATAATATGGAGTTAAAGATTTCCTCTTTTCATGGTCTTAAGTAATTTTTATGAAAGTTGTTCATAATATAGCAGCTGCTTTACAAAACACATTAACTACTCCAATACCTCCTTGTTTGACAGGTAAATACAAAGGTTGTCTTTTAATTGGCTGGTATACCACTCCATATGTATTTAAAAATGCATGATTCAATTTTCTGTGAGTAAATTTTATTTAATGGAAATGCATGGGATAGGTACCATACCTTGGATAAAACTTTTGAGTTAACAGTGAGAGCTTTTTGGTACAAGGATAATTTTCTGTTTGATCAACAATTAACAGAAATGGTGATATTTTCCAAGATTTTGTTCCAATTCATTTTAACGGTGTGTTCATAATTGTCATAATATATAGTGCCTAAAATTCTGGAATATTCTGCTGATCTCATCCACAGCACAGGCCATAAATCTCTTTTCTTCCACTCACCCAATCCCATAATACTTGTTTTATCTTTGTTTAATTTAGCACCTGTTGCTTCCTCAAACCTTTCTATTTATCTGCTAACCTCAATTATGGACTGGTTTGTGACAACAAAGACTGTAGAATCATCAGCATACAGGTATCCCTGTATGGGAATTTTTATGTTGTTTGGTAACTGTGGGGGAATTATTCTGGCATTGTTGTTTACTGATAAATAAAAAGGTTTTTGGAAAAATATCTAGAGAATCATAAAAAGAGGGCATCTTTGTCGTACTAATCTTTCAATCCTGAATGACTTACATTGGATGCCATTAACCAAAACCTTACTCTGACAATTTCCATACAACATTTTAATCCAGTCTACATAAACATTGTTAATGCCTAATTTTTCCATTACCCTAAATGCAAATTTAATATCAACTGTCAAATGCTTTTGGCCGATCTAAGTTTATCATGGCACATTTTTGGTTCTCACTACTGACAAATTGCACTATTTCCATAACCATGATATTGCAATCTATTATTGACCTTCCTTTAATACAACATTATTGGTCGTCTGACAATATTAAATTTAAAAAAGGTTTAATTCTTCTTGCCAATATTTTTGCAACCATTTTATAATCTACATTTAGGACGGTTATTGGTCTCCAGTTTTCAATTAATTTCAGATTCCCCTTTTTAGGCACTGACTTTATTATTCCTGTATTTTTTGACACACTTAATACTTTATAACAAAGATAAACTGAATAACCTCAATGATCTCTACCCTGATAAATTTCCACGTATGTTTATAAAACTCTGCAGGTAGACCATCATTACCTGGGGATCTACCAAGGTTGAGATTATTAATTGCTTCCCATATTTCCTTCAAGTTTACTGGTTTTATTAAAGATTCATTTTCTGATTCCTTTAGTCTTGGTTTGCAATTCTCTATAAAGTTTTCACAATACAGTAATCATCATTAGTTTCAACTCTTTTATATAGATTCCCCCAAAATTCTTTAATTACATAGATTATTCCTTCTATATTCTCTCTATCTTCACCATTTTCTCTCTTAACCTTAGTAATTAATTCCCTGTTTCCTTTATTTTTGTCTTTACAGATCAAATGGCGAGAAAACTTTTCTCCTTCTCTTGTCTTTTATTCTGGATCTTATTTTAACACTTTCACAAATTTTGTTCCTTAATTCATTTATTCTGGTTTTCAGTGCCTTTATTTTTTCATAATTCACATCAAGGTATTTAGCTTTTTCATAAAGTTCTCTTAACCTACTTTGAAATAAATTAATTAGCCCACATTTTTCTTGCGACATTCTTTTACATATTTTTACAAAAAAAAGTTCTTGCATTCTTGTTAAGCACATTGACCCCACCATTGTAAAAGGATGTGTATATTTTTTCCTTAATATGTTTAAAAAACACTCCACAGTTTTCCTGTGCCTCATCAGAGCTTAAAATACTACAATTCAGTTTCCAGAAACCTTTACCTACTTTTACATTTTTGTTAATGTTTACTTTTGACAGAGCCATTGAATGGTCAGAAAAACTGACTGGAACAGTATCACATTTTACTATTTTGTTCTCAAGCCACTTACCATAAAGCCTATCAATTCTTGATCCATATTTATGACATTGAGTCACTTCACAACTAGGCATTCCAACCACTCAGAGATGACAAGAACCATAGTGCTCATTCTGAAATCTGTCGAACCCAGCTTTTCGAGAACTTTTTTTTCCGACTGCACTTTACATGTATAGGTGTTAGGATTTCTGTTAATTGTTACTTATTTCTTCGACAGATGGAATTGAGAATTGGAGCTATCGGGGCTTGGCAGGTAAGTAGTGCTTGGGATATATATATATATATATATATATATATATATATATATATATATATATATATATATATATATATATATATATATATATATATATATATATATATATATATATTGATAAAATCACACGGGAAAAGGGAAACAACGGAGCACCTTCGCTTTCGTCTTTATTCAAGACATCTTCAGAGGCAACTGGATTACATGGACGGAGAGAGGCTTAAATATACAGGGTGACATTATTAAACATGAGGTCAGGTCATACTGATGTCATCCACTAATCCCCACACCAACACACACGTAGAGGAGCTTAAGAGAAGGGGGCGACGTGACTAGTTAGGTCAGGTAAAAAATAAGGGATTCACGTTTTCATTGTGGATCTACACGAGATAAATATATATATACAGTATTATATATATATATATATATATATATATATATATATATATATATATAAGTAAATCACTGTAGGTGCGCGTGATCTAGGTATATGCTGATAACCACAAGGAAAGAAACAACAGTTCCCAAAGCGCTCGTGGTTCGATATATATATATATATATATATATATATATATGCAAATAAATCACTGTGTACTGTAGGTCATTGATCAGGATAACACACATATATATATATATATATATATATATATATATATATATATATATATATATATATATATATATATATATATATATATATATATATATATATATATATATATATATATATATATATATATATATATATATATATATATATATATATATATATATATATATATATATATACACACACACAGGGTGTCCCATAAGTTTCCATTCATATGGTTTTTAACATTGGATTGGTCGGCGTGGTCCTGTGGAGTGGCCTCCCAGATCCCCAGACCTTACCCCACTTGATTTTTACCTTTGGGGCATTTGAAGGCCATGGTGTATCAGGAAAAGATACAAATCATAAATCATCTCAAGCAACGTATCACCAACGCCATTACAAGCATAACTCCCTGCTGTGCTTGAACGTGTTCTTCAGCAGTGGAGGACACGCATTGAAGAGTGTTTTCAACAGAGTGGTAGTCATGTAGAGCATATTATATAAATAAAAATGGATTTTCATATAAAAAGGTATATTTTTCATATGTATGGAAATTTATGGGACACCCTGTATATATATATAATATATATATATATATATATATATATATATATATTTCATGTAGATCCACAATGAAAACGTGGATAAAATAAATCTTGATAAAATCACACGGGAAAAGGAAACAACGGAGCACCTTAGCTTTCGTCTTTATTCAAGACATCTTCAGAGGCAACTGAAGATGCCTCTGAAGATGTCTTGAATAAATATATATTATATATATATATATAATATATATTTTATATATATATATATATATATATATATATATATATATATATATATATATATATATATATATATAGTATGCCAATTAATCAAGAAGAATTTAAAGAAATAATTTACAAAACAAAATTTATGTTAAACTGAAGAAGTAAAGTGATGTTACTATACAAGGTGAATCTTCGGGAACATATCTCTGGTGTTTATAGCACAGCTATCTATAGGAGCAAGTACCTCCGGTAGCGAGGGTATATATGCCAAGATAGCGTCGTCGTTTAACAGATATTGCTAGGCTTGGGATATTATGTACGTTGTAATTTAATTAGTTACCTAAAGAAATGTTTACAACTGTACCTGTATATCGTTTTCTCCTTTATTTTTCTAAAGCCTATAGTTACTTTGTGATTAAAGGAAAAATTGCTTTCCAGTTATCTGTAAATTATTTAAAGATAATGAATTATTTTGTCTCCAGTATTCAAATGCCGAAATGGTTTAAGGTAATATTTGTTGAAATAGAGTTCCAATAAGCTGAGAAAGCGCCGTTCTGTTTGTCTGGTATATTAAATTCAATATTGTGATGTACCTGTACTGTATATTGAAGAAATACATATTTATGAAGAAGGGGGCAGCATTAACTTTAAATACGGTTTAAAAACGTGAAGTTCAGCATAATTTGAGACCTTTCAAGTTCATGTTTACTACTGTACTTTGGTTTTGTTTTACTAAGTGTAAGTTTTATCAATTGTTTTCAAGTTAAGTTTTGGTATCTGTTAACAGGAGATTGTCTACATAATTGTCTGTTTTGTTATGATAGGCTGTTTTTTCACAGTGAGTCTGATTATTGGGCTTATGGGTTGGGGCGCTGCCATGAGAAGGTACGGGTTGGTAATGGTTGCGTCAAGTATGAATTTTAAGCCAGGTTAAGTAGGGGCACTATTCAGTAAGTGAAGGATATGTTGTAATCTCGCAAATTTTGCTTAGTTTTTTCTTTCCAAACTACAGTATTACTATGGATTTCAGTGTTAAGTGGCAAATAATTTCCATATACAGTTGAGTCTGGATTTATGCGGTTTTCGTTTACACGTTTTGTCATTTACGCGGTACTTTGCCAGAAGCGGGATGCTTGATTTACTTGGTAAATTTGGTCATTTACTTGGAGAGCGACTGGCGGTCCTTTCGCGCCGCGCCATTTTTGGATTCAAACTTCCCGCCATCCCGCCATGTTGGGTAAGCGGCCCGAGTAGGTTGAGTAGGTTGTGCAGTGTATGTCTCCGTTGCGTTATTGGTGACGTCATATGACGTATCAGACTGATTGGGCCACGCATCCTTACCTCCCTCCGCCGCTAGCTGTGATTGGTTTAATGTAATATGACGTGCCCTGCCGCGGGAGGGATGAAGCCGCTGACCTAACCTTGTCAGTTTCGATCCTCCCAGTCACCCCGTGTATGCTGTGTTCTATTGTTCGGATAATCTCGCTAATCTCGTAAGAATGGCTTCCACTGGACCTCCACCACCACAGAAAAACCTTGCATTACCTGGACCCAGCCTCCCTAAGCCAAAGAAGATACGACGTGCCCTAAGTTACGAGATGAAGTACAATATAATACAAGAGTTAGAAAAAGGAACAAGACAGGTTGATCTCGCACGCCAGCATGGTGTTAACGAATCTACGATCCGGACGATCAAGAAGGATGCAGCCAAGATAAAAGAACACATGAACATCACAAAGTCTGCAGGTGCTTCAATGGTGAAGTACTGCCAGAACAAGGGTGCTTCTCAAGACGGAGAATTTACTTGTGAGCTACTTGATTCGTCAGGCACGACGGAACATGGCGGTGGACACGCGGTCGTTTCAAGGGTACGCACATGAACTATATGTAGCAGTGGCACGTAAGATGGGAATTGCAGAGCCCAAACCCTTCAATGCTTCCTTTGGGTGGCTGCAAGGGTTTAAGAAGAGGAACAAGATTACCAACATTAACATTGGTGGTGAAGGAGCGAGTGCTGACCGTGTTGCGGCTAGTGATTTTCCTCCGTTCTTACGTGACGTTATGGAGGAAGGACAGTACACCGACGACCAGGTGTTCAACATGGATGAATCCGGTCTGTTTTGGAAAAAAGCTACCTTTCAAGACCTTCGTTGTCAAGTCTGCCAGAAAGTGTCGGGGCCGGAAATTGCAGAAGGAGCGCATCACCGTTTTGTTTACCACCAATGCCTCTGGTACCTGTAAACTCAAGTTATCGGTGATCCACACAGCCTGCAAGCCGCACGCCTATAAGAACATGGACATGACCAAGCTAAATGTCCACTGGCTAACCGCACGTACGGCGTGGATGTTCTCTGCTCTGTCCCTCTCCTGGTTTGACGATTGTTTCGTTCCCGACGTCAAGAAATTCTGCGAGCAACAGAATGTTCCATTCAACATTTTGTTGCTCTTTGACAACGCACCAGGACACTCGCCCCTACTGTTGGATCGTCACCCCAACGTAAAAGTGGTCTTCCTTCCTCCCAACACAACGTCGTTAATCCAGCCTATGGACCAGGTGTTGATATGCAACGTTAAGGCTGCATTCTCTACAAAGAAGTTTAAGCTGAACGACTGTACCAACACCAAGGATGAGTTGCGTAACCTGGGGGACACCGATAGCCAGAGCGACGAAGACGAGGAGCAAGAGTTGGCGGATCAAGAAGTTCGCGTCAAACAGTTTTGGAAGAAATTTAACGTCAAGAAAGCTTTTGACTTCTTGGTGGAGGCATGGGATCAGCTGTCTGTAGCAACGATTCGTCACGCATGGCATGTGTTGCAAGGTATCCCAGGTGGGAGGCAGAGTCAACCTGTGACTGGTGAGGTTCAGTCTGTTGCAGTGGCAGTGGACCTTGTCAGAGAAGCTGCGCAGAGTGTTACAGCTGCAGGCTTCTCCGAGACCACCAACGACGACATTATGGAGGTGATAATGGATCCTGAGGTGACTGCCGACGAGATGTTAGAAGACGATCACGTCAGTGAAGAGACAGGCGGTGCGTCATCCCGAGAAGAACACAAGTTAACGCATGGTAATGTTAAGGATGCCATCGAGTGCAGAGAAACTGAAGCTCATCTTTTCCAACATCCCTGACGATAACCGCTATAAAGTCTTCAATAACCAGCTGTTGCACACTGGAGCCGTACATCAAGGTGTATCACGACAACATCAACACTAGCCGCAAGCGTAACATCACGGACTTCTTCACCCGCAACCCACCACAGCCAGCCCAAGCCAGTGATAGTGACAGTGATGGTGACTTCGAGGGATTTGTCAGGGAGGCCCTGACAACTATGGTGGATAGTGATGGTGATTCACCTGAGGGCCAGTAATCTGCCCTCTGCCTCGGAACCAGCTGCCATTCCCGTACGCCGACCCATCTCTTCTACTAACATAAGTGTTAAACCTAACCTAACCTTGATTTTTTCTAACCTAATCTAACCTAACGTAAGTGTTAAACCTTGATTTTTTCTAACCTAACCTTACGTATGTGTTAAACCTTGATTTTTTCTAACCTAACCTAACCTGACGTAAGTGTTAAACCTTGATTTTTCTTTTACCTGGTACAGTATATTATTCTCTTATTAATATTTCTCTTCTATATTATGTGTGTGTGCATACCATCATAAAATTAAGATGTTATTTTTACTACAACGTAGGTATTGTGTCGGAAAAAGTGGAGTTTGGGGGTGGGCCCAGTCTCTATTTCAATTAATCCCATATGTTCTGTCATTTCATTTACGCGTTTCTCGTTTTACGCGGTACAATGCGTGTTAAATTGACCGCGTAAATGAAGACCCAACTGTAGATTACTGTTCTTGGAGTTTGTCTATATTTATATCAAGGATTTTGTTCCCCTCTAAACGGTCTCTAACTCGACACACTTTAAAAGATTACCTTTGCTGCAATTTTTTTTCCTATCTGATTTAGAGGCAATGTTCCTTTATAATTTTTTGTAGTCACTCGCAAACATGAAATATGGCTTTATTTATTTATTTATTTTTTACACCATCGTAAATTCGTGTTTAAGTGGGTCCAATAGGCATGACTTCCGTTATCGACAATGTAGATACAGAACACTGTATATTAAACCTTCTGTACCCAAGGAGGTAGTTTGGCCGGTGCTGCTCTCGACCGAAAATGTTTTGCATTCATCATTTACTCTTGCCTCCCTTACCACCAGGACCCCAATTTTGGAGCGACGAATATCCCATGTGTGGAGGGAAGAGACAGTCACCCATCAACATTGCCACCGCGGAGGTCAAAGGGCAATACCCGTGGACTCCATTGAGAGTGAAGGATTATGGCAAGACCCCCAAGTCTATGACGCTTAAGAACACTGGTCACACAGGTAAGTTCTTTGCTGTAAAAATAGCTTGCCATTAATTTAGTTACACAAGTTGCTCATCATGTAGATGATCCTGGCTGTCTAGTCAGCTTGATAATGGGTAACATCTTAAGTCGTTCTTGTACACCCCCCTCTCTTTCCCCATTCTGTGGCCAGATACCAAGATAAGATCAAGTGGGGCACTTCTTTGGTTTGTCATGGACAATATCTCGGGCACTTTTTGAGTTGGGGGCAAAGTTTTCATAATAATGACCTAGAAATCTCTCTCTTTCGTGATATAGGGGGAGGGGGCGGTGTACATTGAATTTATCACTTGTTTATATTTATGTCAAAGGTAACTAAACTGACAGGGCTACAAAATGTCATGGAGAATGTGCTATTAAAATTGCTTTAATAGACCTAAGATGGTAATATAACCCCCATATGGTGTTACTAACCATATTATATTGCCTAGGTGTATCAATACCTATAGTCCGTTCCACTTGAACTTTGCAAATGAGGCCGAGGGTCAGTTTGCAACTTGGCTGATGGATGGAACCCCGAAGAGTCAAGAAAGTTTAGACTTTAATCTATCGTATTTATATTCTTATATTTAAAATGGTAAAAAAATCTGTGTTGATCTCTGATAATTTTCGCACTTAAGGAAGCAAGAATTTGCTTATGAAACGCATAGGTTATAAAAATATATAAAGAACACGAGCATGATGAATAAGTTCACCTAGGTAAATTCCCCCATGCCCCGTTACGTCACGCAGCGTGGCAGAGGTTGATGGTTAAATTATATAATATTTTTTTTTATGGTATTTATGTTACCAGTTCGTTTCACATGCTAATTTTTACTTCCCCGAGTACGGAAATTATCAAAGATCAACAGGGAGATTATTTTCCATAAAATATTAGAACAGTGCGATAGACTAAAAACTAAAGAAATGTCGGGACTTCGCATATCCGTCTGCCAGCCAATCAGCGACCATGCTACACACTGACCCTTGGCCTCAGTTGTAAGGTTCAAGTGAGCAGACTATAGAGTGCATCTGAAAAGTTAGACTGGGTACCTAAGACCCAGCCTAATATTGCGGAGGTGTATTTTATTGATTTAAGGTGCACTGATATGCTCAAATCATTATAAAATTACTTATTATTTTGAATCTAGAGGTTTTGATCTTTTATTTTCACCACTGAATACTCCCACAGCCCTAGTGACCATTGTGCAACACCCTAACCCGAGTATACTAGGCGGGGATTTATCTGGAACATACGCCTTCGTTCAGTTCCAATTCCACTGGGGCACCAACGACACCTCGGGCTCTGAACACACCATTGACGGCAACCGGTAGGTTGATTATGGGTCTCTGAAAAGTGAGTACCCTGTTTTAAGATGTAAGGGTCCCCAAATTGGTGTGTAGAGGTTTATTTATGGTGGAGGAAGAATTCACTGGTGGGTGGTATTATGGTAGGTGGAGGTTGACCGGGCACTGATAGGTAGGTTATAGGGTACCTTAAGTGGAAGCCCTGAAATTGGTTTGTTAACCAAAGCAAATTCTCAGTGGTTCACAAGTGGTGTGTGGTAAATGGTACCCCATTAGGCTGTGGGTGGTGGAAGGCCAACAGTGGAACTTTATCAGATGAATAATAACCCAGGTACAGTATATGATGTGACAGATATACCTCATGTGAAATTGCCGTGACAGGTTCCAAGGAGAGCTACATTTGGTCCACTACAAGACGGCGTACGGCAGTTTGGTGAAGGCTATGAATCATGAGGATGGTTTGGCCGTATTAGCGATCTTCCTCAGTGTTGGTCCTAAACACAACCCCAAGTTCAATAAACTCTTCAAAGGTCTAGCCAAGGTACATTACGCTGGTGAGTGACAATGGAAAGAGAAATATTGGTGTTGTTCTAATGTAGTCTCGTTCAAGATTCTTCGAACTCTGCTGGAGACAACTGGCAATTCAAGGCCGTTTGCTTACTATAGTACGTAGTAAAAATTATGAATAAATGTAAAAGTGATCGGTGATTGGTTACTTAGTTCCCCGTTGCTTAATTTAATGGTTGGGCTTTGTTGTTTCGTATTATATTATACTACGTAGTATAGTAAACAAACGGCCTTGAGTTGCCAGCTGTCTCCAGCAGTGTTCGAAAAATCTTGAACGAGACTGTAAGTACAATTTATTGATTTATATTGAAATTTTTTAATGATAATCATATGTGTAAGTGTAGAAGAAGTTATTATAATGGTAACCATTTTTATGTAAAATTCCTGAATGGACTGTCAATACACTTGACCCTAAATGTGGCTCATGCAGCACAGATGGGCCACAAAGTTGAATTAATCAATCATGCTAAATTCAGGACCAACGAACACGTAAGAAAAACAATTGAAGATAAATTAAGAACATGAATTGTGCAGCTTGACTAGTGTGAAAACAAGGATGGGAAGGAAGGGTACACTCCTTTGCCCACTAATTCAGAAACTTTTCGTTATCAGGTTAACGGACTTTTCACAGAATAGTTCTGGTATCTGCCCTGAGAGCTGTTGTATGCTAATGTCTTAGTGCTGATTGCAAACAGTATTGGAGCAGCAGCAACAGAGAAATTTAAAAAAGGGTTTTAATGTGAATGTTGCAAAAACAAAAAGTATTCATTAGTGGCGTGGGTGTGGGAGCCATGGTGGAAAGCGGAAAATGGCCATGTGCTATCTGTAAGAAAGGTGTTTGTAACAACTCCGTTAATGTGCAGTGAGAGAGGACGGTAGGTGCAAGAGCAGGATATGATTTATCTTTTTTTTTCTTCATCGTTTTATGTGACCCACGCAAATCGCGTAGATCCGCTGAGATTTTTTTTCGGGGGAGGGGGGCGGGGGATCATGACAAGAGAAATGATCGACAATAAATGATCTAGGGTTGATGGGTCTGCCGCACAAGGATGATGAGCCAGTATAGTGGTCGCACTCTATATGAACATGCTCATGCATTATAGCATTTTATTCTATTTCTCATTGGCTGAGTATTGCTTGTTTTGCATTCCATTATCTGATTCTTAAGTATTTCATTGACCGAAGATCAATGACGTTATAAAACGCCACTGTTAGAATCATTATAATATGCCCCTCCACCCTATTCACTTGATCCACCCTCCCCTGCCACCAATGGTGGGGGAGAGGCGAAGTATTTTTCAATAAAACTAAGTTTCTATACTAATTTTATACTTCATGATGACCACAATTTATTCTATAACCAATGCCATATTTCATAGTTGTATAGGCAATTCAGTAGGGCGCGTTTGAGTTCCCCTGGAGGTCAGGGCTGTAGGGCATGTGTGTATGTGTGTGTGTCCCAGGAGGTCAGGACTGTAGGGCATGTGTGTGTCCCCCACGAGGTCAGGGCTGAAGGGCATGTGTGTGACCCTCACGAGGTCAGGGCTGTAGGGCATGTGTGTGTCCCCCAGGAGGTCAGGGTTGTAGGGTGTGTGTGTCCTCCAGGAGGTCAGGGTTGTAGGGTGTGTGTGTTTGTATCCCCCACGAGGTCAGGGTTGTAGAGATCATGTGTGTTTGTGGCTACACAGAGTCAGGGTTGTGAGGCATGTGTGTTTGTGTGTCCCCCCACGCGGTCAGGGTTGTAGAGGCATGTGTGTGTCCCCTTTAGAGTCAGGGTTGTAGGGCATGTGTGTGTCCCCACGAGGAGTCAGGGTTATGGGGCATGTGTGTTTGTATCCCCCACGAGGTCGGGGTTGTAGAGGCACTGTGGTTTGTGTCCCCACGAGGTCAGGGTTATAGGGCATATTGTGTTTGTGCCTACTGAGATTCAAGGGTTGTAGGGCATGTGTGTTTGTGTCCCCACGCGGTCAGGGCTGTAGGGCATGTGGTGTGTCCTCTCGAGGTCAGGGCTATAGGGCATGTGTGTCTCCCCGAGGTCAGGGCTGTGAGGGCATGTATGTGTCCCCAATGAAGTCAGGGCTGTAGGGCATGTGTGTGTCCCCCTGAGGTCAGGGCTGTAGGGGCATGTGTGTGTCCCTCACGAGGTCAGGGCTGTAGGGCATGTGTGTGTCCTCACGAGGTCAGGGCTGTAGGGCATGTGTGTGTCCCCCGGAGGTCAGGCTGTAGGGCATGTGTGTGTCCCCTCGAGGTCAGGGCTGTAGGGTATGTGTGTGTGTCCCCAAGGCCAGGGCTAGGGCATGTGTGCCCTCGAGGTCAGGGCTGTAGGGCATGTGTGTTCCCTCAGGTCAGAGCTGTAGGGCATGTGTGTGTTCCCCCTCGAGGTCAGGGCTGTAGGGCATGTGTGTCCCTCGAGGTCAGGGCTGTAGGGCATGTTTGTGTCCCCCCGGAGGTCAGGGCTGTAGGGCATGTGTGTGTCCCCCTCGAGGTCAGGGCTGTAGGGCATGTGTGTGTCCCTCACGAGGTCAGGGCTGTAGGGCATGTGTGTGTTCCCCGAGGTCAGGGGCTGAAGGGCATGTGTGTCCTCACGAGGTCAGGGCTGTAGGGCATGTGTGTGTGTTCCCCCTGAGGTCAGGGCTGTAGGGCATGTGTGTGTCCCTCGAGGTCAGGGCTGTAGGGCATGTGTGTGTTCCCCTGAGGTCAGGGCTGGCTGTAGGGCATGTGTGTGTTCCCTGAGGTCAGGGCTGTAGGGCATGTGTCCCCCGAGGTCAGGGCCTGGGGCATGTGTGTGTCCCTCACGAGGTCAGGGCTAGGGCATGTGTGTGTCCCCACGAGGTCAGGGCTGTAGGGCATGTGTGTGTTCCCTCGAGGTCAGGGCTGTAGGGCATGTGTGTGTCCCCCGAGGTCAGGGCTGTAGGGGCATGTGTGTGTCCCCACGAGGTCAGGCTGTAGGGCATGTGTGTGTGTCCCCGAGGTCAGGGGCTATAGGGGTGTGTCTCCCCCGAGGTCAGGGCTGTAGGGCATGTGTGTCCCTCACGAGGTCAGGGGCTGTAGGGCATGTGGGTGTCTCCCCAGGAGGTCAGGGTTGTAGGGTGTGTGTGTCCTCCAGGAGGTCAGGGTTGTAGGGAGGTGTGTTTGTATCCCACGAGGTCAGGGTTGTAGGGCATGTGTGGTCCCCCAGAGGTCAGGGGTTGTGGGTGTGTGCCCCCACGAGGTCAGGGGTTGTAGGGCATGTGTGTTTGTGTCCCACGAGGTGTGGGTTAGGGCATGTGTGTGTCCCCTGAGGTCAGGGTTGTAGGGCATGTGTGTCCCCACGAGGTCAGGGTTGTAGGGCATGTGTGTTTGTATCCCACGAGGTCTGGGTTGTAGGGCATATGTGTTTGTATCCCCACGAGGTCAGGGTTGTAGGGCATGTGTGTTTGTGTCCCCACGAGGTCAGGGTTGTAGGGCATGTGTGTTTGTGTCCCCACGAGGTCAGGGGTGTAGGGCATGTGTGTTTGTGTTCCCCAGGAGGTCAGGGTTGTAGGGGTGTGTGTGTCCTCCAGGAGGTCAGGGTTGTAGGGTGGGTGTGTTTGTGTCCCCGGAGGTCAGGGTTGGGGGTGTGTGTCTCCAGGAGGTCGAGGGGTGTGTGGTGTTGTATCCCCACGAGGTCAGGGTTGTAGGGCATGTGTGTGTCTCCAGGAGGGGTTGTAGGGGTGTGTGTGTCTCTCCAGGAGGTCAGGGTTGTAGGGCATGTGTGTTTGTATCCCCACGAGGTCAGGGGTGTAGGGCATATGGGTTTGTGTCCCCACGAGGTCAGGGGTTGTAGGGCATGTGTGTTGTGTCCCCACGAGGTCAGGGTTGTAGGGCATGTGTGTTTGTGTCCCCACGCGGTCAGGGCCGTAGGGCATGGTGTGTGTCCCTGAGGTCAGGGCTGTAGGGCATGTGTTCTCCCTGGAGGTCATGGCTGTAGGGCATGTGTGTCCCCAAGAAGTCAGGGCTGTAGGGCATGTGTGTCCCCCTGAGGTCAGGGCTGTAGGGCATGTGTGTCTTCACGAGGTCAGGGCTGTAGGGCATGTGTGTTTCACGAGGTCAGAGCTGTAGGGCAGTGTGTTCCCCGAGGTCAGGGCTCTAGGGCATGTGTGTGTCCCCTGAGGTCAGGGCTGTAGGGCATGTGTGTGTCCCTCACGAGGTCAGGCTGTAGGGCATGTGTGTGTGCCCCCTCGAGGTCAGGGCTATAGGGGCATGTGTGTCTCCTGAGGTCAGGGCTTAGGGCATGTGTGTGTCCCTCACGAGGTCAGCTGTAGGGCATGTGTGTGTCCCCCAGGAGGTCAGGGTTGTAGGGTGTGTGTGTCCTCCAGGAGGTCAGGGTTGTAGGGTGTGTGTGTTTTATCCCACGAGGTCAGGGTTGTAGGGCATGTGTGTGTCCCCCACGAGGTCAGGGTTGTAGGGGCATGTGTGTTTGTATCCCCACGAGGTCAGGGTTAGGGCATATGTGTTTGTGTCCCCACGAGGTCAGGGTTGTAGGGCATGCGTGTTTGTGTCCCCCACGAGGTCAGGGTTGTAGGGCATGTGTGTCCCCCACGAGGTCAGGGGTTGTAGGGCATGTGTTTGTGTCCCCACGAGGTCAGGGTTGTAGGGCATGTGTTTGTGTCCCCCACGAGGTCAGGGTTGTAGGGCATGTGTGTTTGTGTCCCCCACGCGGTCAGGGTTGTAGGGCATGTGTGTGTCCCCTTCGAGGTCAGGGTTGTAGGGCATGTGTGTGTCTCCCACGAGGTCAGGGTTGTAGGGCATGTGTGTTTGTATCCCCACGAGGTCAGGGTTGTAGGGCATATGTGTTTGTGTCCCCAACGAGGTCAGGGGTTGTAGGGCATGTGTTTGTGTCCCCACGAGGCCAGGGCTGTAGGGCATGTGTGTGTGTCCCTCTCGAGGTCAGGGCTATAGGGCATGTGTGTCTCCCCGAGGTCAGGGCTGTAGGGCATGTATGTGTCCCCAAGAAGTCAGGGCTGTAGGGCATGTGTGTGTCCCCCGAGGTCAGGGCTGTAGGTGTGTGTGTCCTCACGAGGTCAGGGCAGGGCATGTGTGTGTCCCTCACGAGGTCAGGGGCTGTAGGGCATGTGTGTGTTCCGCCTGAGGTCAGGGCTGTAGGGCATGTGTGTCCCCTCGAGGTCAGGGCTGAAGGGCATGTGTGTGTCCTCACGAGGTCAGGGCTGTAGGGCATGTGTGTGTCCCCTGAGGTCAGGCTATAGGGCATGTGTGTCTCCCTGAGGTCAGGGCTGTAGGGCATGTGTGTGTCCCTCATGAAGTCAGGGCTGTAGGGCATGTGTGTGTTCCCCTAGGTCAGGGCTGTAGGGCATGTGTGTGTCCCCCTCGAGGTCAGGGCTGTAGGGCATGTGTGTCCCCTCACGAGGTCAGGGCTGTAGGGCATGTGTGTTTGTGTCCCCACGAGGTCAGGGTTGTAGGGCATGTGTGTTTGTGTCCCACGCGGTCAGGGCTGTAGGGCATGTGTGTGCCCCCTGAGGTCAGGGGCTGTAGAGCATGTGTGTGTCTCCCTGAGGTCAGGGCTGTAGGGCATGTGTGTGTCTCCCAGGAGGTCAGGGCTAGGTGTGTGTGTCCTTCCAGGAGGTCAGGGCTAGGGTGTGTGTCCTCCAGGAGGTCAGGGTTGTAGGGTGTGTGTGTTTGTATCCCCACGAGGTCAGAGTTGTGGGCATGTGTGTGTCCCCACGAGGTCAGGCTGTAGGGCATATGTGTTTGTGTCCCCACGAGGTCAGGGGTTAGGGCATGCGTGTTTGTGTCCCCACGAGGTCAGGGTTGTAGGGCATGTGTGTTGTGTCCCCACGAGGTCAGGGTTGTAGGTGTGTGTGTCCTCCAGGAGGTCAGGGTGTAGGGTGTGTGTGTCTCCAGGAGGTCAGGGTTGTAGGGTGTGTGTGTTTGTATCCCACGAGGTCAGGGTTGTAGGCATGTGTGTCCCACGAGGTCAGGGTGTAGGGCATATGTGTTTGTGTCCCCACGAGGTCAGGGTTGTAGGGCATGCGTGTTTGTGTCCCCACGAGGTCAGGGTTGTAGGGCATGTGTGTTTGTGTCCCCCACGAGGTCAGGGTTGTAGGGCATGTGTGTTTGTGTCCCCACGAGGTCAGGGCTGTAGGGCATGTGTGTTTGTGTCCCCACGCGGTCAGGGGCATGTGTGTGTCCTCAGCTGTGTGTGTCTCCTTGAGGTCAGGGTTGTAGGGCATGTGTGTGTCCCCACGAGGTCAGGGTTGTAGGGCATGTGTGTTTGTATCCCCACGAGGTCAGGGTTGTAGGGCATGTGTTTGTGTCCCCAACGAGGTCAGGGTTGTAGGGCATGTGTGTTTGTGTCCCCCACGAGGCCAGGGCTGTAGGGCATGTGTGTGTGTCCCTCTCGAGGTCAGGGCTATAGGGCATGTGTGTCTCCCTCGAGGAGGTCAGGGCTGTAGGGCATGTATGTGTCCCCAATGAAGTCAGGGCTGTAGGGCATGTGTGTGTCCCCCTCGAGGTCAGGGCTGTAGGGCATGTGTGTGTCCCTCACGAGGTCAGGGCTGTAGGGCATGTGTGTGTGTCCCTCACGAGGTCAGGGCTGTAGGGCATGTGTGTGTTCCCTCGAGGTCAGGGCTGTAGGGCATGTGTGTCCCCAGGAGGTCAGGGCTGTAGGGCATGTGTGTGTGTCTTCCCAGGAGGTCAGGGTTGTAGGGCATGTGTGTTTGTGTCCCCCACGAGGTCAGGGTTGTTAGGGCATGTGTGTTTGTGTCCCCGCGGTCAGGGCTGTAGGGCATGTGTGTGTGTCCCCTCGAGGTCAGGGGCTGTGAGCATGTGTGTGTCTCCCTCGAGGTCAGGGCTGTAGGGCATGTGTGTGTCCCCATGAAGTCAGGGCTGTAGGGCATGTGTGTTCCTCTCGAGGTCAGGGCTGTAGGGCATGTGTGTGTCTATGAAGTCAGGGCTGTAGGGCATGTGTGTTCCTCTCGAGGTCAGGGCTGTAGGGCATGTGTGTGTCCCCAGGAGGTCAGGGCTGTAGGGCATGTGTGTGTCCCAGGAGGTCAGGGTTGTAGTGTGTGTGTGTGTGTGTGTGTGTGTGTGTGTGTGTTCCCCAGGAGGTCAGGATTGTGGGGCATGTGTGTTCCCCCCACCCCAAAGGTAAGGGTTGTAGGACATATGTATGTGTCCCTCAGGAGGTCAGGGCTGTAGGGCATGTGTGTGTCCCCCCAGGAGGTCAGGGTTGTAGGGTGTGTGTGTGTGTGTGTGTGTTCCCCAGGAGGTCAGGATTGTGGGGCATGTGTGTGTTCCCCCCACCCCCAAAGGTAAGGGTTGTAGGACATATGTATGTGTCCCCCAGGTGGTCAGGGCTGTAGGGCATGTAAGTGTGACCCCCAGTAGGTCAGGGTTGTAGGATATGTGTGTGTGTCCCCCAGGAAGTCTGGGTTGTAGGGCACGTGTGTGTGTGTCCCCCCTGCAGTAGGTATTGAAGCATATTAAAGCAAAAGAGGTTGTAGAAGAAAGAAAATAAGAGGATCTTTTGTTAAAACAGTTAGAATTAAAGAAAATAGTGTGACGAAATCGTTCAATTATCAAGGAAGAGCAGAGAAGCTTTCCAGCAACAAACACAAGCGTTTACTCTCCCTGAAAAAACTAGCTGATGCAATTAGAACTAAGGATAAAGCAAAACCAAATGAGTGACTATTACATGGGAAAAACAGAAGTATTTTGTTCGTATATATCATGGAACATGTTTATTTTTCCTATTTTAGTACAACATATGGTATTGAAAGCCCAGTTGCTGGTGCATTGGAGATAAATCCCTTTGGTAATATTAAATTTTGAATTCTCACGCAATACAGTGCAAAAAAGCTTAGCTTTTGGTTATCTTCAAGTTTGGTAACAACTAAAATTTTTAAAGGAATTATTAAGACTATGTGCATGAAAAATATTGTTGCAATAAACACACATGTTTGATTTTGGGTGCTGTCCTGTATATTTGAACTATTAGGCGCTCACGAAATGAATGACATGTGGCCTTAGCAAGGCTAGAAAAGCTCAACATTATGTCCCTGAACTGTGTCGAGGAATTCTGTTACCGGGGTGCTGTGCTTATTCCCGGAGGGGGTGCTGATGGTAGGTCAGTTGCAAGAGTCAGAAGTGGTTGGAGGAAGTTTGAATGGTCCTTGCCTCTGGAAATCAAGAAGGCCTTCCCTTAGGATGAAAGGAAGGATGTATGTAACTAGCATGAGAAGTGTGATGTGTGACACTTAAAGAGGATGGCAAACGTAGGCTTGAGTGAACTGAAATGAGAATAGGGATTTGGTTGTGCAATGTGACACTGAAAGACAGGGAACCAAATTTGTTCAGAGCTTTGCGGCCGGCTGGGTATTGAGAGTACGTTATTGACACACTTTTGCATAGAAGTTGGCTGAGGTGGTTTGGGTATGTGAACGGAATGGATAAGACCAACCGGGTCAAGAGGTGCACGAGTCCAATTAATGAGAGCAAGGGGTAGGCCAAGAATGACATGGAGATTGTATGAAAAATTGCTTTAGAACGTTGTTGATGATGACCTGCAATTAGCTATGGGTAGTGATGGATAGTATCAAAGACGCTATTTACCAAAAATAGAAATATACCGAAAATAGTAGATAACTCCGTCACATACACGCATGTGGTGGAAGTGGCCTGCTTCAGACCTATCATGAACATAAAGTACAGGTATACAAAAAAATTAATTGTCCACTTTTCTCATCATTGGCAGACACCCAGAAACAGATCAAGCGCTTCCCGCTCAAACATCTGTTGCCAACCTTCGTGAACACGTTTTACCGCTATAAGGGTTCTATGACATACCCTCCCTGTCTTGAAAATACCGTGTGGACCATCTTCAAGGACCCCGTCACAATCTCCGCTAATCAGGTGAGTCTTTGGTAATTTATCTCTTATGATGAAGTAAAAAAACATTTAGACGTTTGTTACTTACAAAAGAACGTAATGAGATGGTTTATGGAAGTGTTTCATATTTAAAGCATATACTGCACTTCAGTAAACCTCCACATAGGCCCTTTTGGTAGCACGTAGAATCCTGTATATGTGACGGTAGCTGATTTCATTCCAGGTTGTTGTGAAGCATGTCTAGCGTGATGGAAGCCAGTGCTTCTTCAATCCAGTGTCTTAACTGTGATGTTATTAACCTTTTTCACATACACCCTGATCCAACGAGTAGGGAAGTTATCATTGAGGATATCGCGCACTTGTAAAGCCCAGTGCGGCGGTGCCCCATCTTGATGAAAGAAAACCTGGAATAAAATCCGCTACCGTCTTAATATTCTACGTGCTACCAGTTGTGTCTGCCATAAATACCTCAAAAGATTACCCGAGCATTTTCCTGTTGTGGTGGGGTTGCCAGGCATTATCTGATATTTGGTTTAATGGCAGGATGCTTGTTCACTGAACTGTATTGTACAGTGCTTCTTTTTAACAGAGTGCACAAGACCCAGCATACATGAAGACAACCCAGCCCTCCACTCCTGCTGATAGTGCCACGTACTTTGTAATTATGTTATAATGTCGCTTTTGTTACAGCTAACACGGTTCAGGAAGCTGACTGACGATCGAGGAAAACCGTTAAAGAGTAACTTCCGTCCTGTGCAGCCGGGATCTCTAATGGTGAGTGAGGCAGAAAGATTGCAACTAGATAGTACAGTACAGTAGAATAAAAGGGGGAACAGTCGATATAACACAGAACTTTATAATGAGCGATTCCTTAATATCACTGTTCTAGCTTGACTATGGTCACCTGGGCAAAGCTTAAAATTCTCTTACATAAATCATAGAATTATTAGTCATACACTTCCTTTCATAATAAGGTATGATGTAGAAGGCTAATGCACAAGACATATTAACATATTGTTGTGTATGACAGGTGATGGGGGGCCGTGAAGCACCGTTCTGGCTCTACCACGGTAAACAAGGTGAGTTTTAACGTTGTTTCCTCATACCTGTGTTTCTGGTCTTCTCTTATATAAGTCTATTATCTTGTTACCTGTGTTTCTGGTCTTCTCTTATCTAAGCCTATTATCTCGTTACCAGTGTTTTATTTCTCTTATCTAAGTCTATTATCTTGTTACCAGTGTTTCTGGTCTTCTCTTATCTAAGTCTATTATCTTGTTACCTGTGTTTCTGGTCTTCTCTTATCTAAGTCTATTATCTCGTTACCTGTGTCTCTGGTCTTCTCTTATCTAAGCCTGTTATCTTGTTACCTGTGTTTCTGGTCTTCTCTTATTTAAGTGTTTCTCGTTACCTGTGTGTCTGGTCTTCTCTTATCTAAGCCTGTTATCTCGTTACCTGTGTCTCTGGTCTTCTCTTATCTAAGCCTGTTATCTCGTTACCTGTGTGTCTGGTCTTCTCTTATCTAAGCCTGTTATCTCGTTACCGATGTCTCTGGTCTTCTCTTATCTAAGCCTGTTATCTCGTTACCTGTGTCTGGTCTTCTCTTATCTAAGCCTGTTATCTCGTTACCTATGTGTCTCTGTCTTCTCTTATCTAAGCCTGTTATCTCGTTACCTGTGTCTCTGGTCTTCTCTTATCTAAGCCTGTTATCTCGTTACCTGTGTCTCTGGTCTTCTCTTATCTAAGCCTGTTATCTCGTTACCTATGTGTCTGGTCTTCTCTTATCTAAGCCTGTTATCTCGTTACCTATGTGTCTGGTCTTCTCTTATCTAAGCCTGTTATCTCGTTACCTATGTGTCTGGTCTTCTCTTATCTAAGCCTGTTATCTCGTTACCTATGTGTCTGGTCTTCTCTTATCTAAGCCTGTTATCTCGTTACAGTGTCTCTGGTCTTCTCTTATCTAAGCCTGTTATCTCGTTACCTGTGTCTCTGGTCTTCTCTTATCTAAGCCTGTTATCTCGTTACCTGTGTCTCTGGTCTTCTCTTATCTAAGCCTGTTATCTCGTTACCTGTGTCTCTGGTCTTCTCTTATCTAAGCCTGTTATCTCGTTACCTGTGTCTTGATCACATTTACTTACGCCTGTATTGATACATGCCTCTTGGTTCATACACCTGTTCACGTAGTAGAGGTTACAACTATCTCCAAAACATATTTGTCTCCTTAATTTACATATTTATCTTTATAGCTAATGTATGTCTTGTTACATTTCTTTCTCTAGCTGATTTAACTTTCTTTATCTGGTAACAATATCTCCCTCACTTTCCACACACATGCACACAATTATGTACTGTACATTAGTGCTACCTGTACCTGTATTTTATATATTCCAGGACCAAAGCAGTGGTCTGTGTTCTTCCCAAAGTGTGGTGGAAGTTTCCAATCTCCCATCAACATTGTAAGGCAAAGCGCCATATACAGCAGTAATCTCCAGCCATTTTTGTTTGAAAACTACGATCACATTTCCAAAACGACCACCCTGAAAAACAACGGTCATTCCGGTAGGTGATTTCTGGCTTGAGAGAAGTAGTCTCGGATATTTAATAGATGATTTTGGTTTTTGCCTTGTGTTAAGTAATTTATTTAGCCAGAAATATGTACTGTACAGTAGTACAGGATACAAAGTGAGCTGCAAGAACAGTATTGGCATAGCTGAGCCTAGTGCGTGTCGTGCTTTCTTGAAGGCACCTGAACAATGCAAATCTATGTCAAGAAAATTATTATATTAGGTAGAGTGTCTCCTGGATTACATCGTGTTACATGGTGTTATACTGTATAGAAATTCTTCTTCATCTATTGTTTCTCTATGCTAGAGCTCAACCAGGCTCTGTCCCCTGTACATTCTGTACATTCAACAGAAAAATTTATTCACTCTTGAACTTTCACAATGTATCTCATTTTCGTTTCAACTGTATCTTCATTTGTTTTCTTTGATTTCTAACCTTATTCATTCCCCTCCAGTAATATTTCTTCTGAAGAATATTATTTTGAGTTTGTGAGTGCGGCCGACTGGGACTTAATGACTCCATTTGAGTCGTCAGATTAAGGCGGCGTCGAGGCTAGCTAGTCGTCGGGGTTATGATGGTTCCCTGTGCTACGTTTTGCAAGTGGTAGTAAGTCTAATTGCCTCAGGGAGTAGCGACCCTGCCTTGCCAGCTAAGAGGCCACTTGGAAGTCTTACTTATTATGCCCAATTCCCACTTTGCAAAAGTGGGTTAGCTATCATCAGGTAACCAGACATTACATATACAAGCGTGGAAAACGGTCGGTGATAATGACAATACCTTTATCTGTCTTTCATCTACTTTTCCTAAGCCTTCATTCAGTTTTTTATCCTTTGTATCTCTTTACTCTTTCATCACTCTATACTTGCAAATGGCACTCATCAATTCTTTCTGTTCTCCTTATTCAGCACTGCAAACATCTTAGTCCTTAGAACTTTTACTCACTTTCACGATTAGTCCCACTTCTGCCAAATAATGGTCAAACATTGCGTTCACAGTTACCCTCAATACTTTCAAAATCAATCAAACCGCAACATATTTTTCTATGCAAAAAGACAATGTACGATAGTCGTGTACAGTTTTCTTTACTATCATCCCTCCTTAGCTCGCACTTTTTTTTAGCCTCTTTCTCCATTTCCATTAATTCCTGACACTCCATTGGCATATTGCCTCCATTACTCTCTCACCCAACTACTGTAGGTCTTCGAAAACGTTTCGTCTTCATTCTAATACCTCTGACTTTACTGTACTTTTTGTCGAAGTCACCTCTCCTTATTTTATATGAAACCGAAAAACCGAAAAATACTGGTTCCTTCCACACATCAGTGATCCGGTCATTCTTGTCTTACTATTCTGGATACATGGACAAACGTTTAAGCGCTCCTGTCATACTCTATGCTGTCTTTTCTCTCTGGGAGGTAAACCCAGTATACAGTACACGGTGGAAAGGTTAGGTTTTCCTGTCTCACTGTAGGATGTTTATTGCAAAATACTTGTCGTGTTAAAATAAAGGTGATGTATTATAGATATCTTTGTTGCAGCAAAAAGTCAAAACAACCACATTATCAGAGTACAGAGTATTATTGGTTTCTTTTAATTACTGTATTTAAAGCAATGATTCAAAGTTTCTGAATACTGTACTGCATACTATAAATTGTTTTGGAGAAATAGAAAGGTTTAGATCATACTGTTGTTGTGTACTCACATTGAATTTAAATATAGTGTGTAGCTGACATATACCTACATAAATATATAAAATTGTACCCCAGCTCAAGTGTTCCTGACAATGCCGAAGGGAGTACCTTCACATCTGTGACTGGGGGAGGGCTGCAAGGAGAGTACAGCTTAATACAATACCACTTTCACTGGGGACGCAAGAACACGAAAGGCTCCGAGCATACCATCAACGGTGTCAGGTAGGTAATGGGCTGTGGTGTCTTACTGGTGGTCTGTGTTTGTCTGTGGTGTGTTATAGGTGGGCTGTGTTGTGATGCATT